CTGCATCCTGTCCCGGGCTCCCTGCACCAGTTCGCTTCGCTGGCTGCCCCGAGCTCCCTGCAGCAGTTCGCTTCGCTGGCTGCCCCGAAAGGCAAATCAGAGCAGGACGTATACACTTAATGGTAAGGTCCTGGGGACTGTTGCTGAACAGAGATCTTGGCGTGCAGGCTCACAGTTCTTCAAAGCAGAGTCACAGGTAGATAGGATAGTGAAGAAGGCATTTGGTATGCTTGCCTTTATTGGTCAGTGCTTTGAGTGTAGGAGTCAGGAGGTCATGTTGTGGATATACAGGACATTGGTTAGGGTACCTTTGGAATACTGCATGCAAGTCTGGCCACCCTGCTGTAGGAAGGTTGTCATGAAACTTGAAAGGGTTCAAAAGAAGATTTACAAGGGTGTTTCCAGGGTTAGAGGGTTTGAGTTATAGGAAGAGGCTGAATAGGCTGGGGTCATTTTTCCCTGGAGCGTTGAAGGCTGAGAGGTGACCTTCTAGAAGTTTATAAAATCATGAGGGGCATGGATAGGGTAAATAGGCAGGGACTTTTCCCAGGGATGGGGCAAGTCAAAAACTAGAGGGCGTAAGTTTAAGGTGAAAGGGGAAAGATTTATAAGGGACCTAAGGGGCAATTTTTCATGGAGGGTGGTGCTTGTATGGAATGAGATGCCAGAGGAAGTGATGGAGGCTGGTACAAGTACAAGATTTAAAAGGCATCTGAATGGATATATGAATAGGAAGGGTTTAGAGGAATATGGGCCAAATATTAGCAAATCGGACTAGATTAATTTATGTGGTCGGCATGTACGAGTTGGACCGAAGGGTCTGTTTCCATGCTGTAAGTCTCTATGAAGAAGTTAGTTCCCAAGTGATATTTGTAGAGACTTTTAGGTGGTTGCTCAGCCTAAGAAAGGGAACAGTGATTAGTCAAGGAATTGTAAAGAGAGGTGCCTGGATGGAAGGGGTAGTGTTGAGTAAATTCCAAAAGCCTCAAAATTTGTAGTAAATCGTTCCAATTTTGCTGGGTTTTGCATGTTATTCCACTAACTGAGATAGGATGAGTTGAGTTACTACAGAAGTTGCTGACATCCTGTACTTGTAACTGCCTGGGAAAAGATTTACGTTTTCGGTTGTAACTAAAACCATTGTTAAAATAACAGATGTTTGAGAAATAACGGGAGCCAAGTAATGGGCAATATCATTTTAAGACTGACTGAGGCTGGATGGATGTTACATCTGTTACTCTGTAGTAAGGAAATGGTTTGTGTTATTTTAAGACTCTGATTTCATTGTGTTTTTGTATAAAAGTTACCCATACTGATCAAAAGTTATTTATCAAGTGAAAGTTTTACCGAGTGTTAGTTGAAGTCTGAATTCATTATTTAAATTTTATATTTGACTCTGATTCCAAATAGAAATAGCTTGTGGCTTTAGCATTAAATACTGGGCTGTAAATATTCTTAAATCTTCTTTATAATCTATCAAATATTACTGAACTCTGATGTTTTGTAATTCACTTGCTATATCACATTTCTCCATATGTTCAAACCTATTTCTCTGACCATAAAGCCCTATGAGATCTTGTGAATTAAAGCAGTTAGACCAGCCTTCTGGTTTTTCTAAATAATACCAAAGCACCATCTTTTCTGAATGAGTACTGTTGTAAGGTTATCTATTTAAAACCATGAATGCTAAACTTTTAAGACAGTTAATTGGAGTAATTAAGAAGAAGCAATATCCACAAGAGAGTGGGCCAGTAAGCAGAGGACACAGAGTCAAGATAACGAACAAAATAATGAGAGGGTAGAAAGGCAAATGTGATTACATAGTGAGTTATAATCTGCAAGTATAATGGAAGCAGATTCATCAGCAACTTTGAAAAAGGGAATATGTTCTGGGGCCAAGGAGAAATAGGACAAACTGAATAACTCTATCAAAGAGCTAGCACAAGCACCATGAGCTAAATGGCCTCTTCTATGCTTAAAAATATATAAATTAATTGAATTGTACTGTGCCGTTTAGATTCGGAATGTAGATTCCATTGTTTTGGATTTAGTTTAGTTTAGTCATTTTTTGCTAATCTTTATACCAAGTAAAATGAAGGGAAAAGGACCATAATGCTAATAGAATACGACGTGATACATCCAATGCTCAAGGTTATTAGTGGAGGAAGCTCTTTTGATCATACGTAAAATCTGATGTTATGTCAAAAATAATCCAGCAATTTAAACTTTATTTTATTTTTGCACATCTCACTCCTTTAAATTGTCGATGTGTTGATGGTCTTGTTGGTTTAATTTTTTAAATTAAATTTTGTCAAATTTTTGGTTATTTTTGTTTCCCTTGCACAGGGACCATAAGATCACAGGTACTTGTCCTTCAAATTCCAAGATATGTAACATTGAATTATTTTAGTGTTCCACTTGATCCAGTGATCTTTTAAAGCTCATAACAGAAAGTGACTTCACTTTTACCAGGAGAAGAATTTGAACCCACATGGATGTGGCATCAGTTGGATGTTGAGAATAATACTTGAACCACTTGACCATCATTTTGATCCTGAAAACTTCCCAATGCTATAGTATGGTGAAATTTGCAAATCACCTCAGTTTTATGAATGAAATTTAGTCAAGACAAAGTTTAAAAAATGACCTCAAAGACTGTATTTGTAGCCTTTTGGATCAGGAACAGAAGGTTGTTGGGCTGTCAGGATCTTTAAGGCTGCTGACCTGAATTCCTTTTCTTGTGTGTATAAATGGTAATAGTTGACAGCCTCCCCATATTGTGCACTTCAGATTTCTGAATTACAGCCTTAATGAAATCTATTTTAAGTCAGTCAAGGGATCTTTCCATTGCTTCTAAAAGCTCAGTACACTGAGACCCATTTAAATCGATAGGCCATTAGCCAGCCAAGTTATTCTCATATTCTACCTACTGTAAGTTTGATATGATGAAATGCAGCATCTGTAATTTTGTACCTAAAAAATCTGCTACATTGGTAGCTATGCGACTATGTGTCATGTATTTAGTAGACTGTATTAGCTGACACAGGTAACATTAATAAACCCGCAGGAGCCACTGAAACACATTATTTTTATTTTTTAAATGGTTTTCTTCAACTAACGGTTCAGATATGGTTGGTGTAATTTAATTTCACTGTAATTGCTTTCGTATTGGGTTTACAGATGTCTGTCTGTCTCAGTTGATAGCGCATTCACCTCTAAGCCGGTAGTTTGAGAGTTCAAGGCTCAGTTCATTCTATCATCTGGACTGTCATGTATGTTATTGGTGAGCTGCATTATTAGAACTGCTCTATTTTCAAGTGAAATCCCAGACCATGCCTGACTGTACTTGTTCAAGTGAATTTAAGCAATCCCATGGCAGTCCCTGAAATGAATAGGAATTTCAACCTGGTCAACATTTCACACTTTCATCAATAGTCTTCAACAGCTCATTTGATGGTTTGTCTGAATTTGCAGGGCATGACTGGCTGCTGCATTTAATTATGTGATAATAGTAACTGAACCTCAAGAAGTATTTTGTTGGGTGCAAAATGCCTTGGAAAGTTCTGAGGTCAAGATAATGTGATAGATTATAGTGACTTGGTTTTGTATTCATTGAGCACTTTCACCTGTCAATACATTGGAACCAGACATTTGTGCACCTGCCATCGTTGTTGCTGGATCTACCTCAGTGACCTACTTCTCAGTCTCCTCACCACCCTGCTCACCTTAACCCTTTATAGAGAGGGGCTTCCCCTGTTGGCTGTATCAGTAGGTCTGACACTCCAAATGCCAACCAGTCTAAACTCTCTGGATTCATGAAAGCTGATGAGCCTGTGAACTACAACTTGAAGATCACATCTCTTTTAGATACTGAATTGCGATCAGCTAAGTTGATCAGCTAGTCAAAGAAGCAATGAACAGATTAACATCTCAATGTGAATCTCAAACCATATCAGTCCCATTTTCACAGCAGAATACCCTTCAATAGAAAGTTGAACAGTGGTTGTATTTGAGCAAAAGCCTCATACTTCAGTGTTTTTGTCATGTCAGTAGTCCAATATCTCCATTTTGTTCAACTACTTGGCAAAGCCAAGATGTAACTGAAATTTACATTTGATTGTTTTTAGAAGTTCTTGAAAGTATTTTAAGTACTTTTCTAATCACTGCTTGCTTTTAATGTGATGTATGAAAGAATGTGAACAGGGAATTATGATAACATAGTTTCTCTAAAGAATTGTAATATTTGTGTCGAGAAAAAAGAAGTTGCCTTGCTGTAATGAGTTTGTTTTTCTATTGTTTAATATTTCATGATTTCTCAATTACTTTTGTAGACATCTACAGAAACACAGCGAATCAGTCCCTGCTCTACCTTGACTAGCAGTACTGCATCCCCACCTGCTAATAGTCCCTGTTCTACCCTACCACCAGCCAGTACGTCTGCAGCTGTTAAAGATTGCTCTTATGGAACTGTCACCAGTCCAACCTCCACACTGGAAAGCAGGGACAGTGGCATTATTGGTGAGTCCTTTCCACATGTTCTACATATTTATCCTTCACTATTAGAATTTTACAGTCATAAAGTTATATGGTTACAGAACATGGGAAGGCCATTCATCACATCATGTTTGTATCAGATCTCCGCAACAGTAAATCGCCTTGATCCAGCTCCCTGCCTTTTTCCAATATACCTCTACATGTATCTCTTTAGATAATTACCTAATTCTCATTTGAAGGACTTAATTTCAATCTGTCTCCACCATCCTCTCAACTGGTGAATTTTGGATCTGCACCGCTTTGCTTCTTAAAAAAGCCTTTGACTCCACTGTATTGGCAAACTATGTCCCCATCTTCAACTTAATTTTTCTTTCTAAGATACTGTTTCATCATTGAGTATGATTATGGCTGATTGAACACCTCAATATCTTCTACCCCAATCCCCATAAATCTGTGCAGTTTTGGTCTCCACATCTTAGGAAATATATTATTGTCATAGAAGGAATGCAACGAACGTTCACCAGACTTGTTCCTGGGATGGCAGGACTGTCCTATGAAGACACTGATTATCAGAAATCTATCAATCTCTATCCTTAAACATACTCAAAGACTGAGCTTACACAGCTGTTATGATAGAGATTCCAAAAGCTCAAGACCCCCAATAAAAATATATTCTCATCTTGGACTTAAGCGGCATCCCCCTTTTTAAGTTATGTCTTCAGGTTCTAGACTCACTTTCACAGGGGAAACATTTTACCTGCATCTATCCCTTTAAGAATTTGGTAAATTCCAATGAGATCACTTCTCAGTCTTTTGAAAGTGTAAGGAACACAGGTCCAGTTTATCCAATGTTTCTGTTCAACTGTTCCATAGGACAGGTGCTCCTTCCCAGGAGCAAGTGAACTTTTGTTGCACTCCTTCTATTGCAATAATATATTTCCTGGGATTTGGAGACCAAAACTGCACACTACTCCAGGTGCAGTCTAACCAAAATCCTATATGATGAAGCCTTTACCACTTCCTCTGGCAGCACATTCCATACACGCGCCACCCTCTGCGTGAAAATGTTGCCCCTTAGATCCCTTTTCTCCTCTCATCTTAAATTTATGCCCTCCAGTTTTGGACTTTCCCCACCCCATGCCTCTCATGGTATTATAAACCTCTAAAAGGTTACTACCCGGCCTCTGATGCTCCAGGGAAAATAGCCCAGCATATTCAGCCTTTCCCTATAGCTCAAACCCTGCAACTCTGGCATAATCCTCGCAAATCTTTTCTGAACACTTTCAAGTTTCACAACATCCTTTCTGTAGCAGGGAAGGCAGAACTGAATGCACTATTCCAAAAGTGGCCTAATCAATGTCCTATACACCTGCAACTCCTATATTCAGTGCACTGACCAATAAAGGCAAGCATACCAAATGCCACCTTCACCATCCTATCTACCTGCGACTCCACTTTCAAGGAACAGTAAACCTGCACTCCAAGGTCTCTTTGTTCATCAACAGTCTTCAGAATCTTACCATTAAATGTATAAGTCCTGCCCTGATTTGCCTTTCCGAAATACAGCACTCTATATTTACCTAAATTAAACTCCATCTGCTACTCCTCAGCCCATCTGCCCATCTGATCAAGATCCCATTGTATCCTGAGATAACCTCCTTTTGCTGTCCACTGCACCTTCAATTTGGTGTCATTTGCAAACTTATTAACCATACCTCTTCTGTTCACATCCAAATCATTTATATAAATGATGAAAAGCAGTGGACCCAGCACCAATCCTTGTGGTGCACCGCTGGTCACAGGCGTTCAGTCTGAAAAGCATCCAACTGCCACCACCCTCTTTCTTCTACTTCAAACCAGTTTTGTATCCAGGGCTAGTTCTCCCTGCTAACCAGTCTACCATGAGGAACCTTGTCGAATGCCTTATTGAAATCCGTATCGATCATGTCCACTGCTCTGCCCTTATCAATCCTGTTGGTTACTTCTTCAAAAAATTCAGTCAAATTATTGTCTTGAGCATCCTGGATCTTAATTGTTGCACCATTAGTGGCAGTGTATCACAGTTTGGAATTCCCTCCCTATAACTGTCCACCTCGATGCCTTTCTTACCTGCTTTGGTTCCTTAAAACGGAAAGCTATCACTTTAGCTATCTGATTGGGCTCTCACCAGTTTTGCTTTAATGGTTGATTTTATCTGAATCATGATGAAGAGTGCTTGCTGCTGTTTTCTCAGTCTGAAGTTAGCATCATGCTGAGCTTAAATTGAAGTATTTGAGTATCATCCATGTCTTCAAGTGGCCACCATTTTCATAATTAAATTGTGTTGTCACATTCAAACTGGTAAAAGTGTTTATTTTGCTTGTTTGTATTTGTAATGTGCGCTGCTAGTATTTAGAGTAATTATAATAACGTTTGAAATTTGTAAGTGGAAACTTTTGAGAAACAGCACAACTTGAGGACTATTGAGGCTGTTTCAGTTATGCTATGGGATATGTTTAACAGGCAAATGAAAAACTGCGAATGACACTTCTGTTCAGTTGATCCATTGAGAACTTTCATAAGGGTTACGTTTATTGACATTTGATACTATAATTCATTCAAGACAATGTGAGAGGCTAGATACAAAACATTTAAGACATGATGTGACACACTTGATGTGTTTGAGGTGACATTTCGCAGCACAGCATTTGCACATCTTTTCAACCAATTTTCCAAACAATATAGGTATGTAGGGCGATAGTTGGAGACAATGAGTTCAATTTCTGCTTAAGATTTTAAGTGTTGTGCAAAATGTATATGTCTGTTCAAAACAACTAGTATGTTATCAAAACCTACTACAGTTTTCACAAATTAACCTCTGCTTCATAAACCATATCCATACAGAATGACAAAACATGTATAGTTCAGTACACGAATGGCGTATGTAAAAAAACTTATGGAAAACAACAATGTCCATTCAGGCGTTGCTGAAATATGCAGCCAATTGTAGGCTGCCAAACACACATCAACATCAACATCAGCTAATGATGCTGAAGCACTACTGATCCATTGATGCTGGAATTTTGGAGACAGGATGCGTATTAAAAATAGTAATACTAGAATCAGGAATAGGATATTTGGCCCTATGACACTCTGATATTTGATCATCTCATCTGGCTGATCTGATTGAGGCCTCAATTTCACTTAGTTGACTGCTGCCAAATCCCTTAACTCACTTGTCAATCAAAAATCTTTCTAACTCTGTCTTGAACATATTCAATAAACAGGTCTCTACTGCTGTCTAGTGAAGAGACCCTCTCTTCATCTCAGTCTCAAATAGGATACCCTAGTTTTACAATTGTATCTCATAGTTCTGGATGCCCGTTTGGGGAAACATTCTGTGGCATCAACTTTGTCAAATATCCCCATGATCTTATTTTTCAGTAAGATTTCTCTCTCTCAACAAAAAAGATCAGCTCGTATGTAGGAATGATGTACTACTGTTTGTTGGTACTTGGAGCTGATAAGTGACACATTGATAGAATAAAACTGAACACCAATGTCCCTCTGAAAAAGACATTTTGTTCAGACATTCTGGAAACAGTTATTAACAGACCTCCCTCATTAGAAAGCAAAACAGAAATTGCTTGCAAAGCTCAGCAGGTCCAGTAGCATCTGTGGGAAGAAAGCAGAGTTGATATTTCGAGTCTAGTGATTCTCTATTATTAGAGGATAGGAAACTGCTTGGAAGCTTCTCTTAGTTCTGTGACTCCCTGGCAAGTAAAAGGAATAGTATCATATTTTCCTGAAAGCTGATTTGTTGTATCAGCATTTCAGATTTATGGGAGCCTGTCAAAGTCTCAATAAATTCACTGAATTCCAATTTTATGTAGACCTTTGTATGAAAGTAATCAGCATCTCTTTCCAAAATAAACTGAGGTCCAGCCAATGTCTTATCATGGACTATATAATTTCAGTGAATGTTAATAGTCCAGTTTTGGCACTCTGTCACCATCCTTCATCGATAACCATGTTTCAAGGCTATTGAAGCAAGTAGCAATCCACACCTTAGACTGATAGGTGAAATTGTAGCTTTTGGAATTTTTATCTTTAGAATGCCCTTGGTTATGCACAATTTGAAATAAAAATGCTGGCACAATAGTGGCAAACATTGGTTTGATGTGGGAGAGAATTCCAGAGGGATCATTAAGAAGTTTTAAGAAACAGCATCAGAATTTGCTGATAATTTTGGACATAGACTAAAATCTCATGAATAATTCATAGTTATTTTCATCGATATTTCTTTGTCCCCACCCCTACCCTACTTCCTTTTGGCATATATTTTCCACTTATTGAAAGACTTTCAATGTCAGGCTTCTGCTCAAGAGGAGAGCAGTGACTTTGTAACCAACGAAGAATCAATTACTCTTGCAATCATCAAATGAGTAAAGCCTTCTATTTATATCTGGATTATCTCTGAGATGAATGGAAAAAGGGTAGAGTTAAAGATCTCCTGTAATGTACAGTGAGCACAGGAGGTAATAGCTTGTACCTTATTAAAGTTGGAGAAATGCAAAAATAAAGGAAAAAACAGAATTGTGCGTGGACTGTAATAGACTTTGAAGCATATATGTAGATTTGGAGACCAAGAAAAGAAATGACAAAGGAAAATAAAGGTTTGCAGAGAGAAAAAAAAAACAAAGCGCCAGAGAGAAAGGATGCAAGGTTAAAAAAAAATACAGGTGGGGAAATAAAGAACCAGTTAGAAATAAGCAAAGGGCAGGACAAACGATTATCCCTAAGTAATGGGAGTTGGGCTGAAAAGCAGGAGATCTTTAAGATAACATCTCAATCAGCTATTGAGCCACCATAAAGTTTTCACTTTTTTGTTAACCTCCAGGGTATTGATGGTGGGAGATTTGACAATGATAATACTATTAATGTTGATGGAAGTTTGATATAGACTCTCTTGGTGAAACAATTATTGTCTGAAACTTGCCATTTTTTAGCAAAAGCCCAAATGTTGCCCAGGACTGGGTGCATGA